CTGCTGCTGCTGCTGCTACTACTCTTGCTCCTCCTGCTGCTGCTACTGCTGCTGCTGCTGCGCTACTGCTACTGCAACTATCACTACCACTACCATTTCAACGCTACCACACTACACTACCACTACTACACTGACACACTACCACGAACTACCTCTACCACTAGCAGTACCACTTCCACTGCCACTAACCACCTAGTACCGACTGCATACTTCATATTCCTCCTGCTTCTGCTCCTGTTGCCTCTACATCCCAGTTTCCGCGCCGAGTCCACGACGGAGAAGCCTGTGCGTGATTTGTGATCAAGCATTTTGGGTTTTGGGGTGTTCGGGTTTTGAGAATCCGGGTTTAAGGAATCAGGGCATTGGGTATCGGCTTAGATTCTCCAGCGTTGGCTTCAGTTAAATAAGTCAAGCCCTTTCCTCTCATTGTCAGAGCCTCCAAAACCTGCAAAATACCGCGGACCGTGCAGCTGAGACCCTCTTTGGTGTCACTGTTTAAGGCTTCAGCTAACTGCACAGTCCCTCGCACCTTTTAGCTGCTCCTGCTAAGTGTACAAGTGCGCTCGCACAGCGTTTGCCGTGGTCGGCGGGTGAGGAGCGGTGGGATGCTTGAGCACGCATGTGCATCGGAAGCTTCAGCCTTAGTGTTCAAGGCTTCAGCTAACTGCACAGTCCCTCGCACCTTTTAGCTGCTCCTGCTAAGTGTGCCTCCACCCATGTTACCCAGACTGTCCGGGCTCAAGCCCGACCCACGGCAGACAAAGAGAACCACGACGAAGGAGGGTATCCAAATTGCTCGTAGAGCTCCGCTTGGCTGAGCATGGCGGGGAAGAGCTGCATAGTATCAACAATTCGCCGCGCCACGCGGTCTTGTAGCTTCGAAAGAAACAGTACCGACGAGACCTCTTGGACGTAGATCTCCATGACTTTGGCATTTAGCCATCGTCCTCGTCTGCGTACCAACTCACCGCTTTCAGTAGCGTGCAGAAGCCACGTGGCGCCCCCCGCCCTCAATGACCCCAAGTCAAGAGGACGAAGGCCGCTGTCTTTGAAACACCCCAGCTCGAGAACTTCTGTTAGCTTTGCAAACCGCTGCCGAAAGGTCCCTGGCGAGAAGGGCCACAGGAACTGGGCTCTATGCTTGCGACCGAAAGCCAGGGAAACAACCCGCATCAGCTGAGGCTGGTCCAGCTTCAGTGTCTGATGACGGGCCGCGGTGTTCCTAGTCTTTGGTTCTCTGATCGCCAGGAGGACGTAGTCTATGGTACCTTGCCCATCGGCTGGTAAGACCAGGTCCGCCCGTGTAGCAGCGAAGAGCTCTCCTATGCGGCCTAGGCCTCCCCAAGCCAAAGCCAGCATGCCTGCAACATCCAGCCAGCCCCAAAACAAGGCAGCCGTGACAAGGGCCAAGAGCACTTGCCACGGCATAGCCTGGTGATATCTTTGGCACCCGGCTGGCGAGTGCGTTGACGGTCTCGGAGTAGTGATTGTAAGGTCTCCCTGCCTCATACAAGGCACGCCCAAATCTCGACATCACGGCGTTGATGACGTCCACGTCGACCGGGCCTTCGGGCCCAAAAGTCTCTTCAGGGATTGCTTCACTTCGGCACCAAACCATGAAAGCACTCCAGAGGGAGTCCCTTGCAGACTGAGTGGCCCTTTCCACAGGCCGGCCTTCGGGTAAAGGGCGGTCTCTCCTCCCCTCAAGTCTGTTCCAGTCACCTGAGTTCCTTGGCTCAAGGCTTCCATGGCGATGCGGCGCAGCATCTACGAAACAAGCCCTGAAAAGCCAAACCCCAACCCAAACCCTGAAGGACACTGGTGAGGTAGGGCCCTCCCCGGGAAATCCACAGGAGGAGTCGAAGTCAAACAGAGGAGGCCGGTAAAGAAGCGCCGGGACAGATGCAAAGCGATCGCCGGGAAGGGGAGGAATCCAGGCACCCGAGCGTAGGATCAGGCGGGCCCAGTTAGCGGCCCAACGCTTAAGCCGAGGAAGGGGAACGAGAGCCTCAAGAGGGTACCTTTCATGGAGAGGCGGCCCCGCCAAGGGGGGAGGAACCGGAGCATGGCGGGAAGGAGCATCCGCCGGCATAAGGCGTGTTGGCGTAAAAGGCAATGCGCCGTAAAAACCAAAAGCCAAACTAAGAGCCGAAATCTCTCGCAACTCAGCGGCGAGCGCCGACGAAGGGGAACGGCCTTTGCTGATGGCACATCTCGACACATTCGAGTCTATCAGAGAGACAAACCGGCTCGGGATAGGGCCACGGGCTTTACGCATGCAAAGGTGCTTGTAGGCCCCGGGCTCATGGACATTGATGTGACGCTCGCGTCGCCAGTTCCAGGCAGCCACAAGCTTCCACTCCAAGCTCTGGGCCAAGTCATCGACCAGGACACTCTCGAGGCCAAAGGGCTCAATCTCACAACGAGAGTGGGCATCGGTCAGCCTTTGGAGGCCTTGGGAAAAAGCCTCAGCGATGGCACCAGCCCACGGAAGCACGGCGCCATCATCCCCAGCCGAGGCCGTGAGTCAAAGCCCGGAGGGGCCCCAAGGAGAGCCCGGGCCGATAGGCCGTGCACGAGGATCACCAGGGAACGGCCCAGGACCCGACCGAGGTAGCCGAAGCTCGGCCACATCATCTTTCCCTGCCAGAGCAGCCCAGGCGGGCAACGAGGGAGCAATGCTAGCTCCGGGCTGCGTCAGCATAAAGGGGATTCCAAGGCGCCGGGAAACGTTGAGCAGCAGGAGCGCCCGGTGCATCGTAAGGTTCTCTCTCGCGACCTTAGGGGAGGAGCAGTCACCGAAAGGCTCCCGTCTAACAGCAACCCACGATCGTATCCTAGAACCCTTAGAGGAGGGGACGTGCTGGAAACATCCTGGAAAAGGCACCGGCAACGGGAACAGAGAAGCGCGAAAGCTCAGAAGAGGGGGTGTCGTAGGAGATGCAGAGGGCAGGCCGGGGTCTCCTTCAAAGGGACCGGCAGAAGCACGCAAACTAGTGCCTGGAGTCCCTATCTCTGGGCAATGGTGAATTCAAGCACGGACCAGGCCTCTCAGGAAGGTGGCCACCTAGCCGTACAGGCCCAGCAGCGCGAGCCGGGTGCAACACATTGGTGGCATCGCTCGGCAGAGGCTTTGGCTTATAAGGGCAAGAACCACTAAACCACAAACGGCGGGGCTTGCCTGGCCTAGGGGCTAAAAGAACCTCGGGGCCCCTATAGGGAAAGGAGGGCAGCCAGTAAAAGGAGGCGCCCGCATATGCACATCCAACAGGCCAAGCCATCTTCAAGAAGAAGCTGCCTTCGGGGCTTTTGGGAACCGAGGCCGTCGAGGAGGCCGGGAGGCAGGGGCGGCATCGGGGTCCGACGAGGCAGGCTTCGCCTTGGAGCCTCCCACTGCTTCGGAGCGGCGGGTCTGGATCAGGTCGATCTCGCGGATATAGCTGAGGGTGGTTGTGGCCCAGGCTTGGGGCGTCAGGCCCCCGAACGCTCTCAACCGCGGGTTCTGGCTCTGCGGGCGGCTCTGGAAAAGCTGGTGAGGTGGATCCTCCTGCAGGCAAAGAATCACAGACGCCAAACCCCTCCCCCCAAGAACCCCCCCCCCCAGAAAACTAATCCCTATTAATCTCTATTAGTCTTTATTATGTTGGCCTATGTTGGGTGATGGTTACTGCTTAT